CTCGGGAAACTGGTACCCTAACTGCTCCAATCGCTTGGCCAACGCAAATGACAAACGAGCAGTTGCCACTCCACCGCTGCTAAGAAGAATCAGCTTCGCCTCCACACGATCAAAGAACCGCTGCAAAGCTTGCGGCTCCAATCGCGGCGCGAGGACTTCAAAGTCAACCACAAGGCTTGCTGCACCTGGTGTCGCTCGCGTGGCAGCCTGATTCGAGCCCACTCCAGGCAAAGCAGAAGCATCTTTGAAGGCCCGACCCAAAGTAAGCTTGACCTGACCATGTTGAACTCCCGGCAGCGACTCGGACAGCACTTCGGCAATGATGCGTCTTTCTCGGACACTGGGCGGTACAAACTGATGGTCCTCGTCATCGGCTTGTAATTTGAGCGGCTTGAGTAATCCTGGAATGCTGACCGTGCCAAAGATGCCCTGCCGGTTGCCCAACGGCATGCGGCCCGCGTTTGACACAGGCAGTGGAAGGGTTCGCGAGTCAGTGGCAGACCAGAGTGGCTGAACATCGCCCGCTCCAGGTTTCCGAGCGTGCTTGAGCCATGGCTCCTGAATGCCTTTGTCTAGGCGACGATTCCCGCCAGAACTGCCTGCAGAGTTCCGAGCCTGGCTGCTTTCCCCATATCCACCCCAGCCATACCAGCCGTAGCCAGAAAAGGTTTCGACGAAGTCCTGCACAGAAATGACGATGCCATGCTCCATATCCTTATCTGCATAGGAGCTCACAACCAGCAGGCTCTGTCCAGGTCTGAATGCAGCATGCAAAGCATATCGTACGGCGCCAGGCTTTGTTGCAGATACTCGTCCGATCACTGACACTTTCTGGCTGCCTTCGGCAAGGTAAACAGTGTACGCAATGATGTTCTTCGGATTGGCAGCTGGCAAAATTGTCACCACACCCTTGATTTGGTTTTCAACTGGATCCTCATCTCCCGAGAAGTTAGCAAAAACTGGAGCGCTCCGAACAACATCAATAAGCTTGGTGGACATCGTGGCCGTGCTCATTCCGAAGGAATTCACCGCATGCACAACCATAGAGACGGCGCTTGCTGGCACCTGCAAAGCTGAGGGTATATGAACTTGCACCATCGCAGAGGGCCCGCCGTGGTGATCCACATCTGTGGTCCAACTGAAGCCTTCGATTGGGATACTTGCCTGGTCGGCCAGCAAGACAAGGTAGGATGAAACGATGTCTTGCATGCGGACCTCCGGTAGCTTAAGAGTAATCACTCCGCTGATGATGCCCTCCTCTACATTCTCATCGCTGAAGTCCACGGAAACTGGTAGGTACGCCTTCGAGGGCGGCATAGAGTTTGCATCAAAGTCGCTTATCGAACATGACATGCCTTCCGATGAAAGCTCCGTCTTGCCATAAGCGGAAACAACTTTGATGTCAGAATTCGAAGCCCTCGAGGATGGCAAGGTGAATGGCGCTTCTTCGCCATCCTGCCACAACTCGAGGCTCCAGCCTCCTTGCCCCTCGCTGTGGTCACTGAGCCATGTCAGAGTTTGATCGCCTCGCGGCACATGGATGATCTTAGGAAGCTCCAAGTCTGTTCCGCTGATTTGGGTTCCGGCAATCTCCAAGTAGTCGTAGTAGCTCTCGGTCATGAAGCTTGAGATTTTTACGGTGGCAGGGCCGCTGAAAGTAATTACGGCAAGCTCGTTGTTGCCATAAGCATCGCGGTGATAGTGGTGCTTGCCTTTCTCGTAAGTCGTGTTGAGGAGGTGGCAATCCCCGGTGCACGAAGGAGAGAGAAATCCGATGGCTGGCACTGACCCAATCAAGTCGCTGTGCTGCGAATCATGCTGCCAGTAGATGTTGTAGTGGCTGACCTGGGAACAAACTCAACTACCTGAATACCTTGCACAAGCCTGCATGTGCCTAAGGGGAAGCAAGCCACCTACACGTCGCGCGGCGAACAATTTGGCAGGATTAGTGTGCCAGCACTGGACACCGAGCACCCAAACCACCCAGTCGGACCCAATCTTTCTTGTTAGCATGCAAAGGCATTAAGGACGGGATCGCACCATTCGTCATGGGTGTGGATGCAAGAATTGCTTGACGAGGCTCTGTTCGCTCGTTGCATGCTCGACGGATCTTGATGCTGCCTGCCACTTTGCCCGCCGATGGATCTGCATCTCCGCTGAAGGAGACATCCTCTGGGCCGGCCTGCACATTCGCGGACACAGTGCCTCAAAACAGCTCAAGAAACGGCTTTTCCTGCCGGCGCCTCCGGCACACCATAGTCCTCGATCTCCAAAACCTGCTAGCAGCTAGCAGCGCAGAACCAAGTCACAAGGAACATATAAGGAACCCTGCTTCATGGACAACAATGACCTGTCACGACCCCTGCGGGGTAGCCAACAAAAAAGGATTGCTAGGCACATCTGGGCGGCCGCCGCCGCAGTGACTGGCATCCTGCCACTGCTATTGGCAGCAACTGCAGCCATGCCCTTGGCAAACATCGGGATCGTCAAGTTGTCCAGCTTAATGCTCAATGTTTTCTTGCCGGAGACATTGGCTTTCCCGATGCTCTCCATGAGAACGCCAGAGGAAGAGAGGAAGTGCACGCCATAGTAATCGATGTCACTTTGATCGTCTGGAGCAGAAATGGTCACGTGCCCACCGATACGCCCAACGCCGGGGTTTGTATCGACAAAACGCACCTGCTTCGGCGCATGGATTGGCGGTCGAGGCGCCGGGTAAATCGAGGCAAGGCCCATGGCCCGGCGAGCATTGAGCCGACCGCCAGTCACACACGCATTCTCCAGAGACTTTTCTGGAATTGACGATCTCAGGATGATGTCCTTGACCTGGGTGGCCGCCAGCTCTGGCCTGTAAAGCCACACCAATGCGGCCAAACCACTCACGTGTGGTGTAGCCATGGATGTGCCGCTAAGTGATGCATACTCTCCACCTGGTATTGTGGAGTAGATATCACTTCCAGGAGCAGCAACATCGACGGTCGTCTTGCCATAGCAGGAGAACGCAGACAAGTCCCCTTTCTGCGTTGTCGAGGCAACGGATATGATGTTCTCATTGGGGTAATTCGCTGGAAAGTTAGGCACCTCATCATTGTCCAGGCCATCATTGCCTGAAGCAGCCATAAAGAGAACTCCAGCATGCTCAGACCTCTCGATGGCCACTCGCAAGGCAGAAGAGGAGCCGCTCCCACCCCAGGAGTTGCTGAGGATGCGAGCACCCATGGCCACCGCATAGTTTAAGGACTTCACCGCGTCGGAGGTGCGGCCGCCGCCTGAAAGAGTCTGCTTGCAAGGGAAGACCGAAGAGCGTGAAGAAACAGTGGAAGCTACGGAGAAGCCACAAAAGAAAGCCTAGTTAGCGCCTAGCCCCTAGCCCCTAACCCCCGACCTGTGGAGGTGAGGAACTTCAAGGCCATGAGGCGGACTCCCTGCCATGCAACACCGGCAATTCCGATGCTGTTGTTGCCGGTCGCTGCGATGGTGCCTGCACAGTGGGTGCCATGCATCTGGTCGTCCATCGGATCCCCATCATTGTTTGCAAAGTCTGCCCCGTGGACATCATCCACAATCCCGTTGCCATCGTCGTCAATGCCATTTCCAGCAATCTCGTTTGGATTGACCCACATTGATTCCTGCAAATCCGGATGTGTATAGTCAATTCCGGTATCGATGACTGCAACCACAACAGGCTGTGCTGATTCTGATATTGACCGCGAAGACATCTTCCAAGCCTCAACAGCATCCATGTCTCGGTCACCGAAATGGTCAATGGCCCACAACTTCGAAAGTCGCGGGTCGTTGGGAACCAAGGTGTCTCTGCCATGCGTCATCGTCACCATAAAGCGCTCGCTGATCTCGACTCTGTCAGTTGTGGCCGAAAGCATGTCTGAGGTTGAATTGTCCCGACTGACATGTTTATCGGAAACCTTGCTGCGCAGCGAAATTGTATCATCAGTATTGTAGATGAGCTTGAACTTTTCCCAGTCGTCAGCTTCACGATGTCCTCGATGCCATGCAACCAAGTGTCCAGATGGGCTCGTCACAAGGTAGGTGCCATGACTGGACCGAAGGGACACATATCCATCTGGATGAGCTTCCAGCTGGATCTGTGCATCTGGGTCCGTCTTCTTGCCCCGCCAACCAACGCGCCCAAAGTGAGACACCGTGATGTATCCACCGTGGACCTGAACAGAGGCACATTGCGCATCGGTGCACTACGCAACAGCAGAACAGCTTCTGCTAAGACCCCACATGGACCTGCTGGGGCAGAACCGGGAATGTTTTCGTAACAAGTGTAAACAGGTCGGGCACAGTTGTAAGCATTGTAAGCCATGCGGCACTTTGCAAGGAAATGGTGCTTTCGCTCTGCGGGGTAGACTTCTTCTGAGGCTTCGCAAAGCAGCATGCCATTCTTGCACCGTCTGCGGCTGGGCAGCAGCTGCCTTGCAGATTCAGCGCGCGGCAGCCGGGATTTGCGGAGCACATCTGTGCATCTGATGCGCCGAAAGCATAGACCCATGAATCTGGAACTGCAAGCTCCACATCCTTCTCTGCATCGATCGCCTCTAAAACCGCATCCTCGTCTACGCCAGCTTCGCACACTACCACTGCCATGTCCAATCGTTTCAGTGCATCAGCTCTGCGGATGCCTGGAATATTCTCCAAACGTGCCACGTACTCATTGAGCCTCTCCCCTGACCCTTCCGGGTAACGCACAATGAAGCGGCTCTCTATCAGCTTCTCTTTTCTAGCATAGATCGTCTGAGACAGCAGAGGAACTGTAAGAGAACCAAAGGCCAGCAATAAGGGCAACCATCTGGCCATGCGACGAATCACCAATCTCACTACTGCGCCTCTGCCTCTGCACAGCCCCCTCTTTCGAGCTGTGCAGTCAGAGTCATGGAGAAATGCTGCAGAGGACGCAGATGTTTGCAACAGTATGTCTCGCGCATGAGCGGCAAGAGAAGCATGCGGCAACCGGCTAGGCCAGCAGCAACGGAGTCCTTGTACTGAGGTGCTCGTTGAGCTTTTTCAGGTCGGAGATGGTTTCAGCCTTTGCAGCTTGCGGGTCTTGGAACGCGAGAAGAGCCCATGAAACATGTGCCTTAGATGCCGCCTTTGGCGCCGCTTTCCCGTTGCTTGCAGGTTTCTCTGCCTGAGAAAGCTCGATCATAGTTGCCGGCGTGGGTCGATAGAGAGGCTGGGCTGCAAACAGGTGCAGCCTTTGCTTTGCCTCCGCCACCACCGCCTTTGCCTCCGACATGCTCGAACGTGAGAGTTTGGAACTGTTCGCCTCAGCTTCCTGCCGAGAAGCGTTTGGAACAAGCAGACACGGATCCGGTCTCCTTCCCCCTAACCCAATCCTTCCCCCCATGATTTTGTGACCCACCCCCCCCCGGTGTGGGACCACCCCATCGCTTGGAGGAGCAGCAAACCGATGCTGTGGGGGGTTCTGCCTGTCGGCGGCTCCTATAGAGGGGGCGCTCCAAAATGCACGATCTGTCGGCATGAGACTCCTGGGACCCCCCCGAGACCCCCGCTGAAACCCCCCCCCTTGGAACCCCGGACCGTTTCTGGAACCCCTGACCCCATTCTCTTTTTTGATGCCCTCTGTACTCCTTTCCTGTGGGCCGGCCCTGCTGCCGAGGCAGCGCGCGCAAGCGTTTGCAAGAACTTCGCAACGGCAAATGGCAAAAGGATGCGTCATGAAACATCCATTGGAGGCTAGCAGCTGCTTTCAACTTCGAAGTGGATACCCGGCTTTCCAGGCCTTGAGATACAAGCTGCAAAGACACTAAGTCACTAAGCCACTAACCATCTCTCCGTTCCTTGGCCGTTTGGGCTCTTGGACTTCTTGGCACTCTCTGGGCTGCCTGCTGAGAATTGCCAGCTGCATCCTGCAGGCACAGGCAGGCACAGGCACACCCAAAAACTGTTCCCTTAGAGAAACAAAAGAACTGAATCCTTGTGGTCTGGGCTGGCAGAGTCGGTTGAGCGAACCTCCACCTTCACCTGTGAAGGGACTGCGTCGACTAACCGCTCGGCCCAATCGATGAGTCCGCCTGCAACTTTTGCTGCAAATATGGCACCTCAGGGATGGGCAGTAAAACGCGGCAGTGGAAGGCAACTTTGGCCAAGGCTTCGACATTCTCGGCAATCAGAGCCAGCTCATCAAATGGAAGGGATGCGTCGAGGGCACTGGGTCCAAATGCAGCAGCCTCAGAGCAGAACAAAACAAGAAAACATCAGCAATCAGCAAACAAACTCCCTCGAGGTTCCGGCCTCATCGCGCTTGAACGCAGCAAATGGTCCCAAGTGCTTGCCAAAAGGCTTCAGCGACGCGTCCTTGCCACCAGGCCAAAAACAAACACAAAACATGTGCGTGCGTATGTTGGGTGACGCATGCTAACGTTGTACTGTCCTGCATCAGCTCCGTCATGATCTCCTTCCACTGAGCGGAAGCCTCTGCATTCGCCTTCAATTCCTCCTGGAGTGGCACGGGACACCGCGTCCCTTATCATCGAATGGGGACCAATCATTTTCAGCCTGGGACACCAGAGGCAGCTTTTTGGCATCCTGCCGCGCCCTCAGAGTTCAAGGCGAAGCTTCACATTTTTCCCAAGCATTCACACCGACCATACGACTCCAACAGGCCATACGACTCCCCCACCCTCGCAAAAGGCCGCCACCTCAGCTTCGCCAAGACTGTCCTTAGTGTCCATGCAAGATCAGAGACGCTGCGCACGCGGAGTGCATTTTGAAGCAAGTGGCTTCTTCCAGTCGGGGAACTCCTGCAAGCAAGACTACGTTCTTCCCTGTCGCTGTTTTGATGTCACGATGCCCAGGCCTTCGCAACATAAACAACCGCCGACTTTGCCGTCCCATTTTTGGTTGCTTTCTCTAACCTGCAGCTTGGGCGGGCCCACCAGTTCACTTGATTCATCATGATTCTCACCTTGCACTTACGGCTTGACGCACGGCTATGATTCTCCATCTTGTGGCCCAGGCAGCTTGATGAAGTCGTGAGGGACCTGGCGTCTCTGACTGTTTAGCGGCCCCTTGCGGCCGGGTGCACTGTGACCCGCAAGACCAAGCCCGCCTTGTTAAACATGTAGTCACCCTGCTTGGAGAGGGAGGTGTCCACTGGAGCGGTTGGAGCTGGATACCTCCAAGGGCATGCCATGTTGAACGAAAACACGACCGATGGTAACAGTGCCAGCTACATCTGGCTACGTCTACCCCTGCCTGGCATCCAGTACGGATCCTTTCTTGCCAAGCACCACGGACCAACCGTGCTCGCAAAAGTGCGGGCCTTCGAATTGAGTCAGGTGATGATGCAACCCACATCGATCAATTTGTTCAATAAGCTGCTGGCAAATCGGGGACAATGTGATCATCTGCCACTCCAAGTACCTCATGTGAAACTCTGGGACTGCCCCAGATGGCTTGGCATCCAAGCAGTCCCAGCACAGATTGCAGCCAAAGAGCCGCAGGGTCAGGACTTTGTTCGGTTGGCAGCTGGCAGCCTTGCAGATGTCACGATACCTTACAACAGATGCTTTCCCACAGAGACTGAAATGGGACGGGTGCACAGGAATTGCCAAGGAGTTGGCTGGTCGAACATGGATGTGAACTCGAAGTAACATGTGCGTAGGGCTTCCCGATAGTACCTGTAGCCAATCCCGCTCAAACAGGCGTTCGCAGCTTGTGGTTCCATAACATCGGCTGGGCCACATTGTCTCGTAGAACTTCTTGCTCTCTAACCTTGGAAATTCCCATGTGCTCTTCGAGGTTAATCACACTGCTGGGCACTGCAGGCCATGTCAAGGAAGCGGCACCAAGCGATTCATCTCGTTGGCAAACCACTTATCCACGAAACGAGTCTTCTCATCGCCTGATCGCTTGTTGGCTGCTCAATGTTCACCATGAAGCTACACATATTGTTACGTAAGTTCCGGCAACGCAAGCGAACACTGGGTAAAGTCCCTAGTTGGCTGTGCGCCCGTGGTCGTCTGCCGTCAGCCATGCTTGCCTTCTTACTGCCGATGTGAGGAAAAGCATCCGCTCGGCCCAGCTGCGAACTGTTGATTCCACCATGTCGCTCTGAGTCATGCTTCCAAACGAACGCTGTGATGCTGAAGGAAAAAAAGCAAAACCAGCTAGCTTGCGCTGATTCTCTGGGAATACCTACTACGCGGCCATTTGTGCAGCCACGGCCAGTTTCGTGCCCAGCTGCCGGGACAACAACTTCAACAGATACCATGGCTGTGTAAGGGCCTGCATCAAGGGGCTCGCTGCCACTGACGAGGGCTTTCATGGTCTCCAAAAACACCGCCAGAGTGAGTACAGCTTTGTTACCTCTCATGCGAACAATAGCAAATGATATAGGCACAGCTCTAGCGACCCCGCACTCGATGCACATTCGCTTGCCGACAAGAGGCACACAGTCTGGTCAAAGTTCGCTGGCTCCAGCGTATCGCCAGAGTTTGCCATCGCAAGGCGAACTGTATCGGCTGAGTAACTGGCAGCAAAAGCGCATCGTAGATTCTTGCACTTGCGCTGAAGATTGGCTTCTGTACACGCCCAGGGCACTTGTTGATGATCTCCTCCACTGTAAAGAAGTTGCCCTTTGACTTGGACATCTTCTCCTTACGACTGATGCCCCCTCTCTATCGTATTTCGCGATGCTGCACATGGCAGCAGCCTGGTTTGCAGGTGAGTCTCATTGTTAACCAACAGCCAGCCGTTGCAAAAGAAGCTTTTTGGCCACATGTCCGATTCCTTCTCCTGATCTACAAGGAGCGCAATTCACGGGCAAGCCTGGGCATGCGCCTCAGGCACCAGCCCAAACGCAAGCGTGGTTGTACAGTGCCTGACCGGAATGCGAGTGGCGCAGGGCACAAACCCAGAAAAGAAGCCAGTGGTGGGAGAACCAAGGCTCCGGGCCATGGTCAGATGGTTCTGAATCAGGTCCTTGCCGGACACTCTCAGGTCCATAGGGTACCAGAACCTGCACTCGACTGACTCCTCAAAATGGATGTAAAGGAGCACCCGGCTCGCAGCCTGAACTCTTTCTGCATCTTCTCCTTTTGAGCAAGGGCTGCTACAATGTGGCAACCCTCAAGAACACTTGCTTGCAAGCCAGCTAGGTCTAAACAAAGCCAGTTTCCAGCGTCTTCTGCGGAATCTTGCTTTTCTTCGGCAGGGGCCTTCGTCTTAACTCTTCCGGTGCAACTTGCTCGCAAATTTTGCCATGCTGCAGCTCGAACAAGGCAGCAGCCCATTCAAGAACACAAAATCCCAAACGTCGTCAGTGAGATCCGCTGCCTGACGCTCGCAAGGGCAAGAAGCCCGAGCCAATGCTTGGAATACAGTGAGGCAGAGAGCCTGAATTTTGGCCGGACTCCCCTGAGCACCATCGAGGTTGCCCTGATCATGGTTCTCCATGCTTCTCAACACTTTCGCAAAGTTCCGCCAAAAAAAGGAAGGCCAACATACAGAACGAACGAACACACACAGACACACACACACACACACACACACACACACACATACAGACACACAGACACACAGACACACAGACACACAGACACACAGACACACAGACACACAGACAGACAGATAGACAGACAGACAGACAGAGAGACAGAGAGACAGAGAGACTGGCGCGCGCACGGGCGCGCACACGAAACGTACTCGTGCGTCCAACCAAAGCCTCAGTCGTGTCTTCAAGTAACACTGGTTTAACGCATCATGATGCTTGTCATCAGCTTTCGCATCAACACGCCTCAATAATCTGAAATCGTCAGAATACCAGAGAAGACTGTACATGGACAACGCTGAGTTTGAAACAGCGCACAGGCATGCAAGGCAACATCACACACTAACAGCCAAGGTAAAGCCTCTCCGTGGAGCAGATGCGCCACCGTGTAGTAAGCCATGTAGATTGTGCTGTCTGACCTCGCGCTGGGACTGGGTTACTCGGAGAAGCCTAACTCCGCAAGGCGCGAGGGTTTGTCTAGCACGCTGTCTGGCACACTCTGTGAATCCCGGCAGAGACTCAATGACGAACTGCTCATCCCAAGGCACCTCCCAGAGTTGCGGCATTCAATGGCGACCCAGACACTGCAAAGTTTGTGCCTGCGTTCCCAAACCAAAGGAGCCTGAGTCCCAACTCGTTCTTGCGTACAAAAACGAGCAGACGCAGACATCTCAGCCACTTGCGACTGCACGCCCACTCTTTGAGCCAGCCAATCGCATCCTCAAACGACTCCTGTCACGGACTAGGCCATGCTTTGTGCAAAGTACAAATAAAGCTCGAGTGCACAAGCCTTGATGCGGTCATTGTAGCCTTGATTCCCATGACAACCGGTTTAGTTGCAAGCGCTGAGTCTCAAGACATCGCCAAAAACTAATGCATCAGCGATGCTCACGAAGTTGGCGCTCTGCAGATGACCCTGCCAAGCGTGACAGCGTATGTTGCTACCTGCACTGCAAGCTTTAGAGTTTGTGCCTCAATCTGTCCCTTCCAAGACTCCTCGCCATACTTCAGGTACCACCTGGCACAATGGGGTACCGGGTGCAGGATGCCAGGTCATGTCACATCCCAACAGTCCGATAATTCCACATTCGTGCATGCTGAGGAAGTGGCTGATCAATTGAAGCCACCACGCATTCATCGCCTGATCGCGAGACCACCTGCATACATGGGCTGCACCAAGTCGCACAGACAACAGTCAAGCTACCACACCCCCAATCAAATAGGTCCGTCCTTCTTCTCGGGCTCCGAGTATGTGAAGGCTTGTTTAGCCTGAACCATGACCTTGCACCACGATCACCACCACCCCCATCATGCTCATACTTACTTTGGGGTCGGGAACGAATCAACAACTAGGCTAAGCATCTGACATTTCGGAAATCAAACTTTGCTTTCCTTCCAGCCGACGCATAAACTGCTATCTGCACACCGGAGCAGCCACGGCACTTCGCCGGAGCTCTGCCTATCAACCACCGAGCTGGCGCAGTAGCCAAATGTAGCCAAGTTGCTTGACAGGTTGGCCCTTGAAAGGCCCGGTCGACATCACGCCTACGCATTCTCCGGAAGGCTACAGAATTTTTGTGTGCCCGGATGACTCCTGGCCACCGATGCTAAACAAACCGCGAAAGTGCGATTCCCGCACATGTTCGCCTTTGTCGAAGCCCAGCTTGTAGCCTAGCCGCTTTCGAACGAGCATCTGGTCAGAAGCATCTACAAAATCCCGCAGAATTGCAGCCCAGCAGCAAGTGTCGTGAGCTTCTGCTAGCTTCACGCGGTCGTTGATAGACTGCACACCGAGCTTCTCGCACCTGGTCACGTACACGGCGGCTGTTGTTAAACACTTGGGCGATGCTTGTTCTGTAGCTGGTTGCGATGGCGAGCATGGCGTTTGTCAAGGCTCTTACATGTACTGTGCGGCCATGGTCCGAACTTCGCCGTCGATCTCGACCTTGGCTCTTCGAGGATACAAACCGAGCCCAAGTAATAGCGTTTTCGACCCGAGGAAGCAATCTCAGTGCCGGCGTCAATGATGGGGATCAGGTCGAACGGCACTACCCACTCTTTCTTCACACCATAGAACTCGCGCTTCTTGTCTGGCCAGAGCTGAAGCATTTGCAGTTCACACTTGCACAGCGTCGCGCGACTCTTGAGCGAGAATTGGTCAAGAGTCAAGAGTGTTTCTAGAATCAAGGGGTGACCCTACCTGATTTCATCAGGTCCATGTAGGCGGCATAGTCATCTGGTGAGTCACTCGGGACGCTGGTGACGACACCTGTGCCCTGTCAAGTGCACTGTTGCCCCTGCATGCCAGTGACCTTGCAATTTATGTTGCCCGTTCTTCGCCAATGAGCCTTGTCCATCTTGATTGTAGGTAGAGGCAGAACAAAAACATGATCGTACTTCGTGGTGGGTGCTTTGACCTTCAGCCCAAGGGAGGGAAAAGCTGCCCAGCTCAACTTATGTATTCACTGTCGTGCGGCCTTCTTGCCCAAAAGTTCCTGACCTGTCCGGTGCACACAGCTGCTGAGAATAAACCACTTGTGTCAAGGGGCGGTGGACAAGCTTGCGATGCCTGAAACTTCCATGTAACAGTGTGGCTTGCCCCACGGAAGCAGGATGTCCTTTCAGAGGCTTCAGAATGCAAACAAGAAGGCACAGCCACAGCCATGAGATCAAGTGAGTCCTGAAAGCTCATGTTTCTCGCAGATCGATGCGAACACACCTGCCACACAAAAAGTCCTTCCACAAGCCGTGCCCCAGTGCTCCCCGGCGGCAGCAATCTTGCGATCAAGATTCGTATACTTCCGAGTCAGGGCCCTTGTAGCAACCATACTGGCCAGATGGAAGAATCCAGCAATTTGTCCTGTCACCCGTCGCACATGATGCAGAACATGTGACAAGACGAACAGCACAGGTGTGAACACGACACTCTGCATCACTCTGCCCGTCCCCATGCCACTGCAAAAGATAACAAAGGATCTGGGCTCCCCGCTGTCCCGGCATGGTCTCCGCCCGTAAGGTCGCTGCCTCGGCGGGCGGCGAGACTTGTGGAGGCTTTGGATGCCTCTGGCAATTCGCTGAGATGCCGGGCCAGCAAGAAAACCTGCGCATGCGGCGTCGCTACTCGTTTGCGGGGTCGGTGCAGGCTGGTTCTGGAACAAGCCTTGCTTCCTTTTGCGAAGGATTTCTTCATCATGTCGGTCCACTCCAACAACTCGATCTTGATGGCAGTGTATTCCTGGACAAAGGGTGGAAGAAAGATCGAATACCAAGTAGGCCACGTCAGGTCGGATACCACACGATTCCTCGAAAGATGGCATGGGCTTATTCCCCACCCTCGGTGTGGGGTTGTTAGATTTCAAACTCAACTCTTCTCCTCGCCCGGAACTCCTCTCCTCGCCTTGTCTACTCCTCGCTCATCCCTGGAGTGCCCAAATGCCCAGCCCCAGAGTGCCCAACAGCAGAGTGCTCCTGGAGTGCTCAAGCCCAGAGTGCACAACCCCAGAGTGTCCCTGGAGTGCCCAACCACAGAGTATCTCTACCCAGATAGGGTGGGGATGTTCACAAAGCTTCCCCATCAGGTTCTGCAATTGTGCTGCAATAAGTATCAACCAGCTACCCGCTTGTTCCTGAATCATTCCGCCCTGTTGTTTCTGACTCGCGCATGCTCCTTCCTGAAACGCATCTTACCCTACGCTCCTGTGGCCCAACACCTTCACCTTCGGCCCGATCGTGATCCATGCACGCCTCAGATGGCACAAACTCCTGTGTTGGTCAGAGAGCTGGAAAACCAAATGGCCTGTCCATCCGTTTCACCTCGGAAGCTGCAAGCTGTCTGGCGGGGATTCTTGTGTGGATGGTAATCCAAGCTATCAAGATGTGCGGGCAAAGTGCTGTAAATCGTAGGTCGCTTTCCAAATCCAATCTTGTCGGATTGCTTCAGCTTCCTGGCAAAACATTCTGCATGTGTCACTGGACAGGCAGACTCAACCATATCGGACTTAAATTCAGCCAGACTGTCCTGAACTGCCAGCGGATGAAACTATCCTGAGGCAGCACATGCACCCCCCTGCCTGAAGTCCTAAATGGTGCTTAGTTCGAACAACCGATCGAGTCAGCAGCATAGAAGCTGTTTGCAGAGGTTGTGATAAACCTGAGGTTCGCCGGCCAGCAACCAACATCACGTCAGTTCTGCTTTGGGAAACGCCACAAACAGTTGCAAACTTTGAAGATCTGCTGTGCCTCCGTGCTTGCTGGATCAAGTGTTAGCAAGTGCCGCGACTTGGTGCGGGACGATCGGCGGAAGTCAACGGGCGTGCCCAAACGTTTCAAGTCACGGACTCCCAGAGGCGGAAAATATTGCAACCTGACGTCTCAACAGCTGTGAAATGATCCTAGTCGACCTTGTGCAGTACTGAGAGGTCCCCGCCAGTATGAAGGATCCACGAACCTTATACTTACAATCAACGCAAGGCTCTGACCTGAAACTTCTCCGAACAGTCAGGTTGATATCAATCGATGATGCTCCCGTGTAAGTTGAGTGTTCGTGGACGATCTGGGTGCAGTGCTTGGGGATGTCGTCGGGAGCAAGGCCCATGGCCTCCAAAAGGAGAGACAGCAAACTTCTAACAGAAGCAAGAATTTCCAAGAGTTCGTCCTTCATGATCTCATACTGGAACGCTGCATCGCCGCTCTTTGCCAGGATCTTCTTTGCCACCCGCTTGCCGCCTGTAGCACCTTGGAAGAAACCCCTTGTTGCAACCAATCGGAGTGCAAGAAGACGGAGAGTTGTCGAAATGTCGGAGCCAGACCGCTCTTCTTGTCTTTGGGCGCCGCGTCGACAGAGACTTGATCTGACTCAGGACTTGGTGGGCACGAGGAACCATCCTTGCAACTCTGCTGCTGGTTGGGTGAAAGATGGCGGAGGCGAACCGGAACGCAACTGTGACAGTTCATTTCCGTGTGGGACCTCCAAGATGGCGATCACCTCGTTCTCCAAGCATCTCTACTTAGCACTCACTTAGTACTCCACTTCGGCCAACTCAGCCAGCTCACAGCGGTGCAAAGTGCAAAGACGCCCCCCCGCCTTGTAGACGCAGCCTCCACTCTCGATGGGCAGAACTGCCCGGACTTTGTTGCCAGCCGCCTTGAGCTCCTGCACCATGGCATGTTCAGGCTTGCGACAGGCCCTGCCCCCGTTTTTGCGATCTCAAGGGATGCATGGCATTGTATGGCCACGCCTCAGGACTCGGGGGAGGCAGCTTCTTGACGATCTTGAAGTCTTGATCCTGAACCTCGGGTATCAGGCGTGTCTTGCCGCAACGCAGTTCCAGAGATCAGGAAGGCTTCAAGGGAAAAACGGCCAAGGCCTTCATGTGCACAACATACTCCTTTATAGCCTGGCATGGCATTTGCAACAAGGACTCTTCAAGCTTGACTGTAAGCAGATTAAGTAGTTGCATAGCCTTCTTTCCCGTCGATGCTGGTGGCTTCCACTGCATCGTGACGCCGTCATCATCGATCTCAATCACGTCTGGCGACGACTCCTCCACCATCGTGTGGTCCTATTGTATGTCTTGCATGAAGAAAGCCGTCGCGGCCTTTGGCTGCGGACGTCCGGGCGGAAAGATTGGGTATGGCTTGCCGTACACGTCGAACCTCAAAGCAGGGTTGGCCAAGAGCTGCATTTGCATGAACCAAGCGAAGACATGCACTAAGTGGCAAGCTCCCTGGTCAGCTTGTTGGCTGCAGCCTGCGTGTAGTCACAAAAGGGTTCTGAAAAACCCGGCTTCAGTCTGCAGCTGCCTGGATTGGCATGCCTGTACAATGGAAGCCGAAAGGGAATAACACCTGCCGGCAACATCCATGCGCTAGCATCTTATCGAATTCACAAATCACAGACCTTTTTGCCCAGCAAGCGATTAAAGTGTGCGGCAAAGATTGCTTTCCTGGGCGCACCAGGTCCCGTGTCACGTGCCCACAACTACTGCGAACCATACAACGCAAGGACTTGAGGCCAAGAGTCGTCAATGAGAAAGCATGGCCGATGTGCAGAAGGCCGTTCCTTATCATGATGCACATCCTGATTAGAAGCAATTCAACCTCCTGTGTTGCTAGATGGGAAGATGCAGCTGAGACTCATGTACGGGTATGGGAACGTGCACATGAACTTCTCGCTGCTGCTGTCGGGAGCGTCGCACTCGAAGACCTAGCAGCAGCAGAAAAAGGCTACCGACATCATTAGCGCGTGGATATCTGCCGTGTCAGGTTTGCCTTTTGCTCCTCCCATTTCTTTTGCACGTCCGTTTCAATCTGCTGGAGCAAGTCTCTCCTGCGCTGCAGAAGCGAGCATCGATCCCGACAAGACCTTCCATCAGAATGTGAAAAACAAAAAACAGTTGGAGAGTTCAAAAGGAACAGTTGAAGAGCCCAGAGCTGAAACACCAGTGGAGGAATACTGAACCGAAACAGTCGTAGAGAAACCAAGCCTGGAAGGAAAGCGCGAACGCGCAAGTGAAGGCAGAAGGCAAGGCGAAGATCAGCGATCAAGAGGTTCAGTCATCCCTCCAATTTCCAGCATCCTGGCCGTGCTCTGCTTGCCATCCGTCGCCATGGCTTGCTTGCAAGTCCTCATCTGCAGCCATAACGACATCAGCCTTCCGACAAGGCTTGTGAGTGCTCCTCGCCGGTGCTGTACACCGCACTCGTGAGATGGGCAACCTCACTCTCAAGTGCAGCGGCGGGCAGTCGGCATAGAAATTCTGCAGATTTGCGTTCCTAGAAAAACACATATATATATATATGTGTATATATATCTATATATATGTAGACACATATCTAGAGATGGATACAGACATCTATACTCTTATCAATAGTCACCTCTGTGCGACAAACCATGGTCTCGAAAGCATTGCTAATCCTGTCTTTCGCACGCGGAACTCAACTGCTGCCTTAAAAAGGGAATGGGCCAGCAGCTCCCAAAAAACAAAACCAAAAATCATTTTACCTCGAACATCCCCACCCTCTCTTGGCAGAGATACTCTGGGGTTGGGCAACACTCTGGGGTTAGGCACTCCAGGGACGCTCTGGGATTGGGCACTCCAGGGAGACTCTGAGATACTCCGGGGACGCTCTGGGTTGGCACTCTGGGGAGACTCTGGGGTTGGGCACTCCAGAAAGATTCTGGGGCTGGGCACTTCGGGGACACTTTGGGTTGGACACTCTAGGCAGACTCTGGGGTTGGGCACACTCCAGGGACCCTCTAGAGTTGGGCACTCCAGGGACACTTTGGGGTTGGGCACTCCAGGGATGAGCGAGGAGTTTACCGGGCGAGGAGAAGAGTTCCGGGCGAGGAGCAGAGTTGAGTTTAAAATCTAACAACCCCACACCGAGGGTGGGGAACAAAACCCAAAGAGAATCTCCGAACCCGGTTTCGTTTTGGATTTGGGAATTGTTGGAATTTCGTGATTTGCTGCTGTGTTGTCTTGTTGTTAGCTGTTGGGATGCTTGGCATGTTGTTGGATTGGTTGCTCGTAATTCTCCCGCTTCCCGGGGGTAAGTGAAACCGGTTTTGCCCGGGTTTGAGCGGGACTAGCGGGACTCATGTAGAACAAGCGGGAGAAGCGGGACTGCTGTGGGAGAAGCGGGATATGGCGGGAGTTCAGCGCGAGAAGCGGGAAGTAAGTGGGAGAAGCAGGCTTTGATTAAGCCGGAGAAGCGGGACTCAAATTAGCCGGGAAGAATGGGACCTAAGCAGGATCAGCGGGACCCACTTCACCTCCTTCCTTCACCTCAATCCTTCCTGTCCTTCCTCCCTTACCGCTTTGCAAAAGAGCATGAAACACAAATGCCTGAACACAAGAACTCCTGGAAAGAAAGGACTTGCACATGTTTAGGATATGTATATCCAGGCCAGCCATGCAGACACGTCTGCTTGGTGTTCATGGTGCAGAGGTATAGGCGAAGCCGACACCGAAAAGCCATCCCGATGAAGCGGGCGACTTCCAAGGCGAAGGCTTGCGGAAGGGCTGCTTCGCAAGGCTGGGGGCGGGGGATCTGGTCTTTCAAGTTGCGTTTCGCAACTTCTCGCTCGCTCTGTCTTTCTTGCTTGGGGCACAGGGGTCTTCCCCCGCACTCTGCGCGCCGCCACGTTGTTGTGGAGGCCTGTGTGAAAGTGGCGCCTAAGGCGCACAGCATTCCTTCAGCGTGGCATGACATCTGAGTGCCGCGCGGCTCCCTCTCCCTCTCCCTCTCCCTCTCCCTCTCCCTCTCCCCTCTCCCTCTCCCCTCTCTCCCTCTCCCCTCTCACTCTCCCTCTCCCTCTCCCTCTCCCGCCCTCTCTCCCCTCCCTCTCCCTCTCTCCCTCCTCTCCCTCTCCCTCCCTCTCTCCCTCCTCTCTCTCCTCCCTCTCCTCTCCCTCTCTCTCCCTCTCTCCTCTCCCTCTCCCTCTCCCTCTCCCTCTCCCTCACACACACAAAAAAAAAAAACGTCCAAAGGATGATCTAACATGTTATAGCCGTGGCAAAAAAAGCAGCTGAGGGCTGAGCACTCTGCGGCCCAGCAAATGGACTGCTAGCATCAAGGCCCGGGGCCCTATAGTCAAAACTTCGAGCCAACGTTGCAGGAGCCCGTCGTTTTTTGCGGGTTACTTTCCACAGAGTTCACCAGCCACACGAGTTCAAAAGGAGATTGATTCATACTGGGCCAAACTGCCCTGGGCGAGCATCTTGTGTTTCCATCTTGCCGGTAATCGCCAACATGTCTGCGTTTATGTGGTTCTCACGGTCTGTTCTATGCAGGAAAGGCCTGCATGGCACAGAGCCTGCGTCGTTTTACCAGCAGACTTACCAGCTCAAACGCACGGAAGCATATAGAAGGAGAGGTGATCATGATCACATGACAGCAACAGATGCCCAGGACGAAGGCTCAGGCTATTGCAGGCACACAGCTGTAGTCAGCGCCAACGAGCCCTGAGTGTTTTGAATGTGGCACCATTGACACTGGCATTCAGCTTCCACAGTGAGGTCGGCTTTTGTCACGAATAAGCGCCGCGAATCTCGTCATTCTCGTCAGAAGAAGTCTCCCCAACGGCTTCATGGGACTTGCGCTCTGTGTCCCTGCATGGGAGAGTGGTTGCCACCTCAGCGACACTGCAGCGGGCACTGGCCATGAGCAGCTGCCAATCATAGCTCAATGAAATCACCGGTTTGGCAGCACGTTCTTTTCCAAGCTTGAGGTCTTGAGCTGAGGCATTAGCAACTTGTAACTCGAAGCAAGCAGTGCTCCACTCTAACAGTGGACCAAATATGACCAAATCATATACTACAGTAGCCACTCGCCATTGATCAGGCCTCTCGACCTTTCCACGTGACGTTTGCAAAGGCTCCAACTGACACTCCATTGCAGGGGCTATTGCACGAATTAATTGAGGCTCAGAATTACGGGCCAGGCGCACAGTGCTCTTCAGCCGAAAGGTCTTTGAGGAAGCACCAGCCTTGGAGTGAGGATCTGCCCTGCAGGTCCTGCAGGTGGAGGAGTGAAGCAGGGCCCGGATGGCCCGGAAACGTAACCATTTAGAGGAGAGCAACCATAAGCATCACGCTCGAAAGGTGCCACCAAGCCCACTGGTGGAATTGGCTGGTGGAGTACCCCAGCGGGCACCACATGACGAGGAGCCCTTGGGGGTGTGGTGTCCGGCGCACGTGCCAAGTATGCTGCTCCGCGGACATAAGGTCCCGGTGTCTGCCCTGCGGATGCCGACAGTGACCGCCTTGTGCTCCCGAGTTCCTGTGGCTCTCTTGCCACTGATGGTCCGGAACCTGCGCCACATTTGATGCAGTATCTGGAATCTGGCATGACTGGAGCCCCGCATGCAGAGCAAGCATCTGGCACATCTGCTTGAGTGACACATGGGCCAGTGGATGGAGTTGGAGGCATTGCAGGGATTGAAGGCACTGCATTCATGGCGCTTTTGGCTGGAGGCGTGGCCGACAGCCTCTGCTGTGGGATGGCAGCAGACAAGTAGAGCGGAGCCGATCCACGTGCAGAGAGGCCTGAGCAAGACGACGGTGCTGGGCTTGGTGGCACGTGCCCCAGGCTCTTGATGTGCCTCTCCAACGAATTCGCGCGGGACTCCCAAGATTGACCAAAGGCTGTTGCCTGCTGCAGTCGTTTCGTCAAGACATCGACTTCATCTTGGATGCGCTGCTCAAGCCGCTGGATACGATCCTCCAAGAAGTTCAAGTCACTGCCTCGCACTACATCATCTTCTCCTGGCTTGACGATTCTGTAGTTCATCTGCTTGGAGCCATCCAGAGCTGCCTCACATGCTTGAAGCCGTTGGTCCATGGAGTGCAGGAAGGAGGGTTGCCGAGCCTCTCGCCTGGCATCCGCCGAGACAGGCTCCGCAACAGAGATGCTCACGGAACGCCTTGGGCTTGTGGACGATCCCCGAACTTCGGCTCTTCCACGACTGTCAGTCTTCATCCCATCACCGCCGTCACCGTCCTTGAAATCCAGCACGCGGCTTACAGGAAGCTGCGCGCGGGATCCGCCGAATCCACCACCACCAGCTTTCAGCAGCCTCAAATGCCGAAGGGCGACGGGGATGGGACGGGAGCTGCCATCAAAGAGCACATCACAATTGAGGGCCTCTTTGTCAACCTGCAGCACTCGGCCCTGATCCCCTGCTCCGAAGGACGGGAAGTGCCGCCCGTTCAAGACCACCACACGGCTGCCTTCCTCGATGCCTTCGCCAGGCTTGCACTCGTTGTCACGATCCCGCATTGTGCAGCGGGACAAGAGGACCATGCCCTAGAGCATCCTTCACCGAAATCCTTCACCGAATCTTACTGGTATCTTGAGGTGGATACTCTATCCTACGCGCAGGTGCCCAAGGCATTTGTAGCTACAAAGAATCACACATGACATGTGTCGACTGCCAGCATGATGGGCATCCTGTGAGCAGAGGCCAACAGTACTGGGAGCTGATGACAACACATTCATTCTGCAAATTTTGCCGGCACAATCTGGCCAACACCGCGGGCACAGACCTACTGCCAGACCCTGTAAGAGCACCGGTATGATTCCTGTCAAGTAGCTGGTGCCAGGAGTACCCAGAACGCATACCTCCAGATGCTTCCAAAGTGCGACCAGCCTTCCATAACTCATGATGTCTTACTGCTGTGCGGCCGGGCAGCATAGCGACGATGAGCCATTCAGCAACACTTTCCAGGGACAAACACCAACCTGATTTCCGAACTGCCAGTCCGAGCAATGTCCCAGTGAAAGAAATATTTTTCGGCAGAACTGGTCGCTGTTCATGAAGATGCTTCGAGTAGCGGTACTTCTCGTAGAGCAGCAGCTCCTCTTTCTGCATCCTCAAAAACATGATGCCCGCCAGGCTAACTGGCGAGTAGCAGCAGCATGCTAGCAAAGCGCAAGGCGAATTCACGAGCAAGCGTCTGCACAGTGTGCGGCTCTTGACTAAAATCTCCACCCCCGCAGATTCGATCGCAAAAGTTGAAGGTGAACTGCACCTGCGTTGCACGAGAAGTGTCGGCTCTTGGCGCAACCGTGCTGAGTTGAAGAATCTCACATCTGCCCAGGCACGCCATAGATTGTCATCGAAATCCAAAGCACGGTACCCTGAGATTCGTCCATTGCACCTACACCTTGCAATGCACAACCACAACAGGCGAATACGATCTTTCAGCCAAGAAACAACGGCTACCGGTAGCATGAAAGGCCGTCGGCAAGCATCCGGCAGGCAAGCGACCAACAGTCCTGGCACAGAATATGTCGACAAAATATCATCAGCTGCGATGGCGCGCCGCATTCGTGCCGCCCAAGTCTCCATACAAGAAAAGCATCCAGATGCTCGCCAAGAAAAACACGTATGCCTGCCAAACACACAAACCACAGCTATATGTGACTGCAACAAACAGGGAAAGTACGAATTGTGTTGATGCTGGGGCACGGCTGTGCGGTGGATCAGTTTGTAGAAGTGGGTCGGTATCCAAGCCACTCCAACCTGGGATGTCTGAGGACTGCCCAAAGTTTCGAAAACAAGCAAGACCAGAGTTGTGCCGAAAACGCTTCAGATGCCACTTCAGGCGCAGCCGAGGCTCTAAGCCAATCATTGCCGAAACACCAAGAATGCGCAGCAGCTTGCACCCTAGCAATAACCATGACGCATTCGGCTCGGTATACCTTCAGCCGGCCAAGCAAAGTCCCACAAGGATTCTCCCTAACAAACCAAATCGAGCTGCCACGCAAATTGAGCTTTGAAGTACCTGCGACAGCCCGTGCAAGAACCTGCGCGGATGCGTGTGGAACTGATAGTGCACCCCGCCTGCTAAGAAAGATGACATAGATGGAGGAGAAGAGTGCTGATAGAGTCACGAGCTCCACCAGAAACTCTGGAAAGTTGTAGCCTGGAGTGTGCGGCGCACACGTAGACACACGAAGGAGGCCGCAATTTCTCACCACACATCTGAATTCAACTTCGTGGCTTCGTCCACCACCTGAACACACAGACACACACACACACACTCACCGATAAACCAAATGCTGCGATCAGAATGACATCAACTCTGTGTTAATCCTGCTTGGGCACAAGCAGGCAGATCACTGACTGGGATGATGAAGTTCAGAGCAGAATTCGTGTAACCTACACACATGATGACTGGCATGGGACGTGAAGCAAGATGAGCTCTCTCTCTCTCTCTGATGATGCCCAGTGGCTGCAGGTTCCACGCCCGCTGAAAACCAAGTATCCTTTCAAATGTAAGTTCATCCAGTTCATCCATGCGCATGCCTCCATATCCTCTATGTTGTGCAAGCACATGTCACAAACATGATGGGAGAACAGCTGCCGTGTAGGGACGTCAACATGGGAAAGTGCATTCAACAGCAAGCTCAGGGGCTGCAAGATCTGGAGAGCCAAGTCAGAATGCGTCCTCGCCGCGATGTTCACCGCGGAGGTGACGTGCAGAGACTGTTGGCTGCGACAAGATCAGCCCATTCACGCCTGTATCCTTCGCGCATTGGCTTGCGATGTTGTCATACGGGCCATCCACCGCCTCGTAGACAGTCGAAGGCCCTCAGCGCAATGATCGTTTCCGGGACCTCGAGCAAGTAAACGCATTGGTGGGCGACCGGTGACACCGGCCAGCCGATTAAACTTCCAGATTGAAGCCGCCCCAAAGCACGTCAGATGGAACCACAGCATAGCGCAATGTGTGGCACCTTTCAATGGCCCCGTTGAGTAGGTCGCGGCCGGCAAGACCATCTCGACCATGCCAGTGAAGCGCCAGCAACGACAAATGGCCCAAGGATGTTCAAGGCAGCAACAGTGAGTGACTAAACAAATGAGTGAGTGAAGAGCGATCCTCTGACTAAGGGACTCGCCTGGATTTTAGACTGGCCGAGTCTTCCCAAACAGCATCCCGTCCGCACAGCAAGAAACACCGCAGCCCAGCTGCGCACCCAGGCAGCACCAAGCAGGGTACCCAAGTAGAAAGCAGCCCCGCCCTCACAGCCAGCAAGGCACACAAGCTGAAGCAGCAGCCAAGTTGGTAACAGCAGTAGACCACCGAGAGCGAAGTAGAGGGACAGCAAAACCACGCCCAGAGGACAGCCAGCAGCACCAGGCCCCAGTAGTAGCAAGCAAACGCAGCACCAGGCCGGGCCCCCCAAGTAGCAGCAGCAGCACCACCAGGCCCAGAGATCATCCAGTGTAGCAAGCAGTGGCCAGATCACCCAAGTAGCCTGCAGTAGCAACGGGCGCAGCAAAGCACCCACGCAACAACCGCCACAGCAAGCAAAGCCCGGAGGCACACTGGTGCTCCAAAGCGTGGCACGTGTGGGTTGGTTTACCTGTGTCACATGCAGCCGAATCGTGTGCGCCACTGAGCTTGCCACCCGCGTGGCCAAACGCACAGCTGGGGGCATTGCAGCAAACGATGTGCACTACAGGCACAGCGTAGGTGAGCGGGGGCACGACGCTCTGTTGCAACGCACATGCACGTGCGTGCTACAGGTATCATACACTTACTGGCTCCTGCCCAGCCCAGGGGGATGAACGCGAACCCAGCTGCGGCCTGGGTCTTGCACATCACTCGCGTTAGGTCTCGCAGCACCATTTCTGGCATCTAAAACGAAGACAGCGGATGCTACCCCAAAAGCTTCCGGCAGGGATGATGAATGGCTGCCAGTGGAAGCCCAGCGTGGCCTTGTTTAACTTGCAGGAAACAGCCAACCGCTGACAGTTCCGACAGCTACTTTGAGGAAGCTCACAACGAGTCCCAAGGTGCAGCCAAGCTGCTGTCTGCGCTAGGAGGATAACCATGCGTGTCATGGACAGCGCGCCACCGCAGAAGTATGTCATAAGAACCAGGTCAATCCAACCCCTTGTCCCAGAAATCGTCCCATTTGGCCTGCGTGCATAGGTGTGTTCATCACACGCCTAAATACGCTTAGCACGATTCACTATTCTCGCGATTCACGACCTCGAAGGGTTCGACCCGGGCCAGCCTCGGGGTGCGCTGGCGAGGCCCCAAATCATGGGGAGCTTGCCTTGTGGAGTAGATCCTGTCCAGTTCCACTGCTCAGATGCCTCGCGCACGAGCCAAGCAGAGGAAAACCAGTCCTTTGGCGGTCGATCTGTATGGCTTCTCCCACTGCTGCAGCAGCAGAAACGCTCAGGACCCGCCGCCTCAGCTACAAGCAGGAGCCTGCCCCAGCATCCGCAAATGAACCAGTACAAACCAGCCAAGTGTTTTCAAGTCGCGATGGCTGTAGCAAGCGAACCTCCTCAAGTCGCGAACTAGCGGAACACGCGGTGCATGGCACGCAAAAGCTTAACATGGCTGAATATGCTCACCAAGAATCTGCTGTCGGCCCACTGACGCTTGCAATCAGTGGAGTAGGTTTATTGGCCGCAAAGGCTGAACCTAGAATGCAACCTCAGCTTCTGCGCAGTGTCGTCCAACCCAGGACAGCCAAGGTTTCTTGTGTCTGGAGAAGCTTGGACATCAGCTTGCGACAACCTGTTGCTGCATTCAGCCAGCCTGGGTTCACGCATGTTCACGCATCCAACTGTGTTCTGACAGCATTCACTTCGATGAGCCAACAAAAAGACACTTTTATTCGTTCGGTCAATGCAAATGCTGTCCAGCGGGCACGACACTGCAAACAAGGCACAGCCGCAGCACGGACTGGTTCGGTATGCGGATGGGGTTTACGGCAGAACCGAAACAGCTGACAGGAAGTTTGGAAGAACTGCAAACACGGAATGCTGATGACAAAGCTGCAAGCTCTGACCAACCCTGCAAGATCTGGCATAAGGAAGAATACACAGGACACAGGAAAGGCCCAGTAGCGGCCAAAGGTCTAGCTTCCCTGAACGCATATTCTGGCAGCGAACGGCATTGTGCCAGAAGTCATCCCAGCGTCAGGCCTGCACTTTGCATAGATCGGGAGCCGCCTGATTCAACTACGAATCTGCCTCCAGCTTGGGCCAGCTGAGATGGTGTTTCACCAGCCTCACAAAGCGACGAAAGACAAAACGAAGCAGAAGCACAAGCACTAGTGCCTACCTGGTAAGGGATCCTCAACTGCAGCATACGAGTAGCCGCATAGTTTTTTTGCTCGACAGTTGGGCTTTATTGCTCCATCAAACAGCGCCGCGCTGGCGCTGTGCCGCATTTGCCGGTTGAAGGAAGGAGTGAATTCCGGACATCACGGCTGACTGTCGGCTGTTGGATTGACATTAACCAGAAGCACGTGGACAGGTCAGCCGCCACATTGTTTAAGTGGCTCGCTGATTGGTGCCTTTTAGTTTGCGCAGGGGAAGAAGTCCAAATATGCAGAATACATCGGGTACATGCTTACCTGCTTTGGTTTCTGAGCGTTCTGAGACAGAAACCAACGGAACCAGCACAAGGGCCCAGCACAGGCCATGCCACTGTGCACAACAGGCTGATCTTGTAACACATTCTGATTCTGGTCCGACGTCTCATGCTCGATGGCCTCCTCCTCTGCTGCCTCTTCAGGAGATTTGCTCTCCTGAAAGACCTCGCTACCATCGCTTCCCCCTGTGGCCAGCTCGGCCTTGGTCCCGGAAACGACTCGGAGGCCAATTGGACCATAGTCCGGGATTTCCAGCGGAGTCCCGCGAAGCTTCCCCTTGCGGCCTCGCTTCACAAAGTCGATCTCTGACTTGTAGAGGCGGTCCAACTTGTCATTCACCATGTCCTGGAACTTCTCAATTCGCTTCTTCCGGTAGTCCTCAAGCCGATCCCACCGGAGCTTGCCGTCGATGGCGCTGTCCATATCTTCCGCCAGTCGCTTCTGGCTCTGAACAAGCAGCTCTTGATCCAGGGCGATCCGTTTCTGATCACGAACCTGCTCCGCAAGGAGTTCCTCCTTCTGCACCCCCGGGGTCCGTAGATTGGTCAGCTTGTTTTGGCCCTCGGCCAACACACGGCTGTCCTTGGCTAACTGCATCTGATCCTGTGCCACCTGCACCTGGTCCTTCGCAATTCGTTGCCGGCGCCACTGCTCTTGCGTGGTGGCCACAGCCACAGGAATCTCGTCTTCAGGGCGTGCTGGCTCAAGATAGGGTGGTGCAATGATGCGACTCTGAGCCAAGTACTCATGACCTCCCGAGCTCTCTTGATCTGTTGGCTCCGCGTGCTCCGCAGGCTTCGAATCGTTCTCGCTTTGCACCTTTTCGTCTTCATCTACCACGGGCGACTGGTCCACAATTCTGTCCTCCTTGGTGGTGGCCCTGCCTTCTTGTTTCAAAGCCTTTGCATCTTGCTTCAGCGACTGTATATCCTTTTGCAGTTTTTTCTCTTCCTGCTCGTACTCCTCAACTCTTCGCTTCTCCTTCTTGAGCTCGTCCTTAAGAGCAGCCTCTGTTTGCTCCATCTTTTTTGTTTTCTCGGTCTCCAGCTTCTGCAGCTTCTCCATGGACTCCGATGGCTCGTCGTTGAACACCCGTTGATCCGTAGGATCTCTGCGGGGTGGGCCTCCGAGCATCTTGCCGGTGTCCTGAACGCCCACATCGCTGAAGAACGTGTGATGGCGACAGCCTGGTCCTGGCCTCCAGCTTACGTAGCTTACGTGCTCGACAGGGAACACACCCAGCCGACCCATGGAATCACAAACAAAGCATACGAAGGGATCTGACTTGCCCAGAGGCCCGTGACCTTGGGACCTGCATCGTTTGGGACTTGGACTTGAGCCAAACCTTCAAAGCACACACCGCCAGACGCGTATACCCCTCTGCTATGAGAAGAATGCCCTTCCTTGCCCTTGCAACCTGCCACCCTATGCTTCCACTGTGGCATCGCCTCATTTGCAACGTTGACATCAGCACCTCGCGTCGCTGCTCGATGGCAAATGATAGCGACAAGAATCAAAGCTCATGAAAATTGGGTTTATCTTAGCTGTCGTAGCTACGGTCCGCAAACTGCACAGGAAGATGGGTGTCTGACCACTGGAAGCCAGCAGCTGTGCAACGGTCTCGTTTTCTGACATGACCTGGTGTGACATTCTGCGTACATTCTGTGTTGATGCAAAGAATGCCGAGAAGCATTCATTCCCAAGGCCGTGGCCGCGTAGTGAAGCCTGAGTCGCCGGGAAACACTGCAAAGTCGAAGCTTATACTACCTATGCAGTTAATGCAGGTTGGTACTGCAGCTGTTGCTTGCGCAATCCCAAAATGCCCTGAGCGGACACAACCCGAAGCCCAACCACAATTGTCAAGATCCTGGCGGTGTGTCCCCAGCTTGATCTTGTCTGCTGACATTGGCCCTAACGCCTGGGATATCCTTAGCTGATGACGGCCCAGTCTTCTAAAGCAAGTCTGCTGTACTGTCACTGGACTCTTGCCGGAAACCTATCAGTGGCTTGCCTCTCGTCGCTTTGCTTGTTCTTGGAGCTACCGTGCATCAGCTCAGGGACAAGAGGCAAACCCTCTGAACCCCCAAACCACCCCTCCCTGCTTCTCGGGCAGCAACCAGCAGAAAGCTAACCTGGACAGGATGCACTCGTAGCGCCTTACGACCTTTCTCGCGTGCGCACGCCTACGCTGCGTTGCTTTACATTTGCATTGGGCGCACCATGTCCACATCCCCCCGATCCGCGGCCCAGTGCAAAGGAAGCATGCCATCCTTGTCAGCCTCAAGACTCAGAGCAGCAAAAAGAGTTGGCGTCGAGACCGTCAACACAATGGCCTCCGTTGCGAGCTTGGGATCACGACGAAGGAGGGCAAAAGCTTCCTGGTTCCGGATCACAGCCACTAACGCAGTGGTAGGGCAACCTTTGGCCTCGACATCACCGTCTGCGATTTTCTGGCAAAGCTGCCCTGCAGGTGTCTCATCCTGGGAGGGAATCGCGACGCAACTATGAATCCTGAATTGCCAAAAGCCTTTTTCAGGAGGGACTATCTGCCCTCCTTCAGAGAACAGAAGGCATGCGCGAAGGAAGCGGAAAGCCACTTTTGGGGTATTGATTGAAGCTGCCCAAGAACATCGTGGAGTGACCGAGCACTCTTCCGCAATGAACGCAAGAAGCATAAATTCAAAACACAAATAAGAACGAGCTCGTCTTCTTCTACCCAGCGAAGAGGCCCCCTTCAAACGACTGATCTCTCTCTCTCTCTCAGGTACTCGGAGCGTCAGACCTGTTCTAGAACTAGAATTCTGTAGGCGTGGAGATCAACGGAGTCACAAAGTGCTGGCGTCGGCGAAAGCAAGGCAAGAGTCAGGATATGTGTATGTTGCCTGCACATGCTATCTGTATGTTGGGCCAGAACAGCCGCGTGGGTGGCCTTCGTAGACAAATTTCTCGCCTGTCTTCCACGATATCGTCGTACCGTGTGAGTAGTAACAGGCCGTTGTGTGAATCACTGTTGCTCCACTGCTGTTGCAGGAACGTTTGCATCTACAGGCTGAGCTCCTCACAACATCTCCTGGATTCCCGGAGCCTTAAAGCAGAAGCATGCTGAGCATGCTCAACATGCTGGGGCAACGCTGAGAGCTGCAAGACGGCAGGGGTGGCAAGGTGCCATAAAGGAACATCTCAGGACGCCACCTATGCAACCCAATGTGCTCACGGCAGGGCCCATAGATCTGTCGGCACAACGGCTCAATGCAAACGTGCAAACGGCGGGCTTGAGACTGGGCACGACGCAGGCCGTCTCCTCTGTCTTGTGTTTCGCTTTCTTCAAGAGCTCCTGCCGCTCGGACTGCAACTTTGCCTTGTCTCCACTCGGGTCACTGCGCTGAAGGCCTCCAGATATCCACTCTGGAGCATGTTCGTTCAGAGCCTTGACCTCGCACGGAAGCTGAACTCCACAGCGGGTGCCCGCGTGGGCGATGCGGGCGCAGTCTCGAGCGTGAGGTGCGGGCATACGCAAGTTTGGCCACTTCCGGAGCATGGCCTTGTCAAGCTCAACTCCACAAAGAAAAAACAGCAAATGAATGGAAAATGTGTAATCATCTGGCCTCTGACCTGGTTCCAAGCACTCCACTTGGCGGCGCCCTGCAACGAACACACTTTCACAGGGGCGGCGGGAAGACGCGCCATGATGCAAAGGGCTCCCTGGCCTGCATGCTGAATGGCTGACTGCCTTGGTAATCACCTGAAAGAGACGAAGACGCGCATTTCGACTGTTCTATTTGCAGCACCAGCACAGCCCCTGGCCACAGGTTGCTTGCTTGTACCAGGCATAAAGTTCGAGGGCAGCGTGGGTGCCCAAACCAGATCCATGCTCATTGACCTTACTCGCACATCTTGCATGGGGCCCTACCTTCAGTCTGCTTTGCCAAGAGTCGCCTGAGCCGGCAAATGGATATGAGGCCAACACCCAAGCAGTAGCCATCTCGAACCTGTGAGAAGAATGGCCAACAGCCGCCTACCGCAACCGGAAGCTTCCACATTTCATGGCACCTCAACTTTTTTGCTCGCAAGACACTCTCAGCCAGAGCTACGGTGTTGTTCAAAAGCATTGCCACCGTCATGGGGCCGACGCCCCCAGGAACCGGTGTGATCAAGGATGCCTTCAGCGCGACACTCTCGAAGTCCACGTCACCCTGGAGACGATAGCCACGTTTGCGTGTAGCATCCGGCACGCGATTGATACCAACATCAAGCACTACAACACCTGGTTTCAGCCAGTCCCCCTTTACAAAGCCTGGACAACCAACAGCTGCCACAAGTATGTCTGCATCAGAACACGCCTTTGCTACGTTGTCTGTGCGGCTGTGACACAGCCTCACCGTGCCATGTTGCTTCAGCATGAGCAACATCATCGGCATGCCAACAATAGCAGACCTGCCAAGGATGACGCAGTTCTTCCCTTCAACAGGCACATCGTATCTCCGCAGAATCTCCATGCAACCTGCAGGCGTGCATGGCAGCGCAAGTGGGTTGCCAGAGGGACGCGCAAGAAGACCCAAATTGGCAGAGCACAAGCCATCCGCATCCTTGTTGACAGATATGCTGTCGAGGACGTTTTGCTCGTTGATATGGTGTGGCAACGGCAGCTGAACCAGTATTCCATGGACCCGCGGGTCTTCGTTTAACTCCAAGATCTGGTCTATCAGGGTGACCTCTTCGACCGAGTCCGGAAAATTGATATTGAAGACCTGACATCCAACTTCCTCTGCTGCTTTGGTCTTGCCTCTGACATAAGACTCGGAGTCAGGCCTCTGCCCCACAAGAACAACCGCTAGTCCAGGTATGAGGCCTTGTGCCTGCAGCACCTTTGTGCGCTCTCCAAGCTCTTGCCGAATTTCAGCTGCGACGGCTTTACCGTCCAGGAGCCTGGCGGCACCACGCTGAACGGATGTGGGTCTAGCAGCCTTTCGGGCAGATGTCCCCATAGTTCCGCCCACCAACCCCAGGAGAGAGGCCCAAAGGCAAAGTCTCGGCTTCACCTTGCAACCAGCAACAACATCCAAAAAAGACTCCAACCAGCAACAACAACCCTGAAAAAACATTAGTTCACTGAATGCTAAAAAAAACCTGCACCCTGAGAACCCAAAACCCTTAGAGCATCTTAGAGCCCTAAACCCTTAGAACCCAAAACCCTGAAAACCCTTTTTTTGACCCCGTGCTGAGGCCGATGCCTCTGAAAACCCAAAACCCCAAAAACCCTAATCCCTGAACCCTTAAGAACCCTGTTACTCTAAGAACCTAGGAAACCTAAGCCTTTTGAGGAGAAGGCTCATTTCGGTTCATACAGTCTGGTTCTTGAAGTTTAGGGGCTTAAGGTTCTGAGGGCCCTCAGGGTTTCTGAGGGTTCTTCAGGAATTTAAGGTTCTTGTGGTTCGCGTGATTTTGTTGGGCCTTCAGGCTCGTAGGGTTTGAATGCACACAGGAACTACTTGAACGACTGGAATCAATCTCGAGCGGCTTGAAAAGATTGAAAGTGCTTCTCATTGCAAGTGAGCATACGATAAAAGCAAGAGAAGAGAAAGGAAGAGCGAGAAAGACAAAGAGAAAGAGAGAGAGAGAGAGGTAGCCAGAGAGAGAGAGAGAGAGAGAAAGAAAAATATAGGGAGATGGAGAAATAAATAAAGAGAGACAGAAAGAAATAGAAATAGAGAGATCGAATAATCGAGAGATGAAGAAATAAAGAGATAAAGAACAGAGAGATAGAGAGATAGAGAGATAGAGAGATAGAGAGATAGAGAGATAGAGAGATAGAGAGATAGAGAGATAGAGAGATAGAGAGATAGAGAGATAGAGTGATAGAGAGATAGAGAGATAGAGAGATAGAGAGATAGAGAGATAGAGAGATAGAGAGATAGAGAGATAGAGAGATAAAGAGATAGAGTGATAGAGAGATAGAGAGAAAGAGAGATAGAGAGATAGAGAGATAGAGAGATAAAGAGATAGAGAGATAGAGAGATAGAGAGATAGAGAGATAGAGAGATAGAGAGATAGAGAGATAGAGAGATAGAGAGATAGAGAGATAGAGAGATAGGAGATAGAGAGATGGAGAGATGGAGAGATGGAGAAATGGAGAGATGGAGAGATGGAGAGATGGAGAGATGGAGAGATGGAGAGATGGAGAGATGGAGAGATGGAGAGATGGAGAGATGGAGAGATGGAGAGATGGAGAGATGGAGAGATGGAGAGATGGAGAGATGGAGAGATGGAGAGATGGAGAGATGGAGAGCTGGAGAGATGGAGAGATGGAGAGATAGAGAGATAGAGGGATAGAGAGATAGAGAGATAAAGAGATAGAGAGATAGAGAGATAGAGAGATAGAGAGATAGAGAGATAGAGAGATAGAGAGGTAGAGAGGTAGAGAGGTAGAGAGGTAGAGAGATAAAGAGATAGAGAGATAGAGAGATAGAGAGATAGAGGGATAGAGGGATACAGGGATAGAGGGATAGAGGGATAGAGGGATAGGGGGATAGGGGGATAGAGAGACAGAGAGAGATAGAGAGAGAGAGAGAGAAAGATAGAGAGATAGAGAGATAGAGAGATAGAGAGATAGAGAGATAGAGAGATAGAGAGATAGAGAGCATAGAGAGCATAGAGAGCATAGAGAGCATAGAGAGCATAGAGAGCATAGAGAGCATAGAGAGCATAGAGAGCATAGAGAGCATAGAGAGCATAGAGAGCATAGAGAGCATAGAGAGCATAGAGAGCATAGAGAGCATAGAGAGCATAGAGGGCATAGAGGGCATAGAGGGCATAGAGGGCATAGAGGGCATAGAGGGCATAGAGGGCATAGAGAGCATAGAGAGCATAGAGAGCATAGAGAGCATAGAGAGCATAGAGAGCATAGAGAGCATAGAGAGATAGAGAGATAGAGAGATAGAGAGATAGAGAGATAGAGAGAAGGAGACAAGGAGAGAAGGAGAGAAGAAGAACGATTCGTTTAGCAACGCAGGTTGCCCAAGTGTTTGCTCCATTTGCTGGGACACTTAGAAAGCCCCCTAGACACCAGAAGAAGCAAGCGCCCGAAGTGATTCTAAGTGTCCCAACATGCGTCCAACGGCTGAATCCAAACTGGAACTTGGTCTTTTTGTTGCCGGTTTGCAACGCACCCCTTTAAGGATTAGACCTTTTGCATCCCCAAGCCCCACTGTAAGAGCACTAAACCTTGGTTTTGTACTCTTTCCCTCTACACTCCCTATACGCCTCCTTGAAGGGTTCCAGTTTTCCACGGCAACACCGAGAAAAGACCGGCACCGGGGTAACATTTCTTGGTTGATGTCCTTGATCTTCCTAGCTTCAACACGGAGTTTGTTTTCCTTATTTGCTGTCCAAAAGATGAAGTGTGGGGTTAGCAGCTACCGACAATGCATGTAACGAAATAAGAAATAAAACCGTCCCGTCCATCACGTTGAACTCGAAAGGGTGTGCAGCCCTGTTTGGTGATTGTTGCTGTTCACTGTGTTCGCTTCCACTAGCAACCACCACCACCACCTCATCACACCATTAAACGAAGAAGCCAACAAAATACCACGATGACACATTGACAAATGCGAATGGGGCTAAAAGCCAATGCGAATCCAAATCTCAATGCAAACAAACCTACCAGCACAATTCGAATAACAAGAACATACCAATACAATCCAATACACATACTGAGAAGGAGAACGAAACTGTTCATGCAGTTTCTCGCTCCACCAGTCATGCATTGAGAACTTTGGCCAGCCAGCCTGACATCTCTTCCCAGGAGCAGCAATTATGTGCGGCGCACGGAATGCCGACCCTGATACTTGCGCCGATGTAGCACAACGCCATGGCGTGGTGGCCGGCGCTAACATGTTTAGCTATGTGTGACAAACACGGGCCATTGCAATCTGCGTCTTCATTTTCTCAACACATGTTTGGTCTTTCATTCACAAAACGTGCTCGAGCTGAGATATCGCCACCAACGCGAGCTGCACAGTTTTCTCCGCTGTCTAACACACGTACACAACTGGCTGTACTGAGCAGCCGGCACTTGTGAAGCAGCCTCTTTCACGAACAAAGTTCTAAGCCAAAGCGGACATGCAGCCGACTGCCTCGGCATCCTCGCCCGGAAGCTGCCTGACGGACGCAAAGGTCCTTGCACAGTTTCTTCTCTCCCACTCACGAAGTGGCAAAAGCTCTTGCCCGAAAACGGTCCTGCTGGCAGCTCGTTGCCTCCGCGATTTTTGCCATAGTATGTACACCTCTGCGCCAGCAATCAGCCACTGATCATGCACTGACCTCCTGCAAATCTACATCTCGCAGTAGCTGCACCAGTGGAATCGCAATTGCAACGGCCGTGGATATTGCCGCTGCCTCCAATACTTCCCACACAGAATCAAGCGCGTCACTGCTGCGGGTGCTGTACAACTTCTTCCCTGGCCTTGGCGATGGGCTGCACACCCCACATAGCAAGAAGGAACGCAAAAGTAACTGAAATCCTCAATCGCTGAAACGTTTCCCGGAACCCAAGACTACACGCCAAACCCTGTGTTTCATTGCGGGGCGTCATGCCTGTCACATTATTTTTTTTCCCATGCTTGGGTTTGTTGACTGTCAGTGTGGCGCACTATGCCACGCAATCAATTAAGTGGGTTCGATGCAAACTCCATGGTCTTTGCTGCACATCGCTGGTATGCACAGAGCATCAATCTGCGATGTTGCACAAGATCTCGGCGCGAATGAACAAGCGAATTCTTTTTCAACTGGCATGGATAGCTTAGGTGTTGTACTCTTTTTTTCTCGCTCCTTTTTCCGTGCCCCTACGGCCTACGAGCTCCTACGGCCGCATCGGCAGCCGGCGCCCCCGGCGAGGTCCAGCACCCTGTCCAAGCTGGGCGCGGTTCCCGGTCCCGCTTGCGGCAAGGCGGGCCTAGAGCCGTGCCCGCGACGGCCTGTTGGACTGCGACAGAGATGATGCTTGCCATCCCCTGGACCGGCCTCCCGCAGCCGCAGCACGAACGGCCTGCGCGTTCCATCGTCCGCCAACCTCCGTCTCCAGCACGACCAGGCGCTGTGGCCCGCCGCACGTGAGTTCGGGGTAAACCCTCTGCTTGCGGCGCTCCGCGACCTGTAGCGCCGCGCCGTCGTCTGCATCCCCGTGCGGGTCAGCGGTGACACAAGCGTGGCGTCGCAGCAGAGCGCTCCCCCGTTGGCGTCTACGGTCGTCTTCCGACTTGGCCTTCGGCTCCGACTGCTTCCCTAGCCACGCGGAGCCACGCCCGTTCGTCCACTTTTGCCCGTCTGGCCAGCAGTCCTGTCCGGGGACAGGCCAGCGCATGGTCCCCCAGTGCGTCGACCGCTTGGCCGCATCCCGGGTTTGGGCCGCACCGGTGAGGGCTCAGGGGCAGAGGCAGCCGCAGGCGACGGCGCAATGCCAGGAGCATGGCTTGTGGAGTCAAGGACGTGCCTGGCTCGCCTGGTATGGCTGACAGCCAAGCCCCTGCGTGCGGCCCAGCCTGGGAGCGGAGCATGGCTCGGGAGCCTGGCGGCAGAGCCGGCAGAGGCAGAGCCGGCAACAGCACGCGACTGCGTGCCAGCCGTGTGGCCAGTCCCCCGGGCCTGCATCCGTCGGGCGGGCGGGGCGCTCGCCTTCCAGAATGGCTTCCCAAGCGGGGCAGTTGTTGCACCCGGTGTTGTACAACAAGTGCGAAGAATACCTGTGCTGAAAATCTCATCCGTGCGATCCCGGCCTGTGATGATGTCGCTCTGGCTCCGGGCAACAAACATAAGCAACCGGGGAGCCGAGAAAGAGGTGACAAAAATCGGTGAAAATGGGTAGGAGCATGGCCTTTTTTTTTTTCCCACACGCCTTTTTCCGCCGCCAGGAAGGTCTCGTGGGCCTCAGGCCGCAGCGGCGGAAGGCCGGGTCCAGCGCAGTCAGCCAGCGCCAAGACGGCCTCCAGAG